TGAGCCTCACACGCGCCCAACAAAGTTTTTGGCCGAACGTCTCGCCGGCGTGTTGAGGCGCGTACGGCGGGCTGTTGCCGGATATTTTTGCACCGGCGTATTCGGAATATAATTTCCTCTGCAATGGTATACTCACTTGTTCCGTTCAAGCAGTTTTATGTATCCGTCTGATTTTCGGTGTTCCGGGTTCGATTTGATTTTGTCTGTGTTTCTGTCGTTTCGGCTTTCGGCTTGAGATATTGTCTACACTTGAAATGTTTTTTATGGAAAAGATGGATGTTCATATTCCAATAAGTGTTGTCCTATCCGGAGATAATTACAATTTGTTGACACAATCGATGAAAAGCTTCATGATAGGAAGGAAGCTATGGCGGATTGTTACAGGGGATATAGTTGCTCCTGTAGCTCTGGTTTCTATAGGAGAAGTTGCGCCTACCGCCAAAGTTGTTGAATCTTATATTGAAAAATTGGAGGATTGGGACAGTAAGAGCCACCAGATTCTTACTTGGTTGCGCAATACTTCCACTCCGGCGATACATGTGCAGCTTGTCCAATTTGAAACTTCTATGGCAGCGTGGGATTTCTTGGCAGTCCGCTTCCGTGCTACTGGTTTGGCGCACTATTATCAGCTATGGAGTACTCTCCATGATCTCAAACAGGAACCAGGACAATCTGTCAACGACTTCCTTGAGCAAGTGCAACCCCTTTGGCATCGATTGGATTAGGCTGAGATCAGTCCTAATCATCTTCGCCTCATTCAGGTCTTGATGGCTTTGCGTCCAGAGTATAAGGCAGTTCGTGCCTTTTTGTTACATCGGCACCCACTTCCTACCTTGGATGCAGCTATTCGGGAGATTCTTTTTTAGGAAACTCATCTCCACCTAGCCAAGGCTCCTTTGCTTGATTCTGCTCTTGCGGTCACCACCATAACTTCTACTCAAAGTCGTCCCCTCCGTTGTATATGATGTCAGTCTTCTGATCATGACTTCGGTCACTGCCCCAAGGTGGAGTGCCACTACTGTAATGTTTTAGGCCATACTACACAGTATTGCCCTACTAGGCCGTCTCACTCTGGCAGCAGTAATTTCAAGCCTCGGCATGTTCGTGGACCTCCTCAGTCTAGTACCTCATTTGTCACAGCCTCTGCCACGCCTGCGCCTGCGCCTCCTACGATCAAGACTTGGAGGCTCTTATTAAACAGGTTATATCTTCCAATATCGCCATGTCTACCACATCAGGTAACTCTCTTTGGTATTTTGATTCTGCCTACAGTAATCATATGACCTCTGATATACGCCTTATGACCTCTACATCCACCGCACCATCCCTACCCCCTATCCTTACCGCAAATGGTACCCATATGCACATCACCCATACTGGACATACACCCACCTCGTCCTTATCCCTCCCTGACACATATTGTATTCCCCAATTAACCTTAAATCTGATTTTAGTTGGTCAATTAGTTGATCAAGGTCTCACAGTGATCTTCTCTTTTACTGGTGTGCAGGTTCAGGATGCATAAACCGGGCGGACCCTCGGAAAGAGCCGGAAGACATACCGCTTATTTGAACTTGAGTCACTTCAGCTCCCTCATCCCTCTATTTTGGCTGCCACCACCTCTACACCATCCTGCCTTTAGTGGCATCATCGTCTCACTCATGCGTCCTCTAATAAACTTAGGTCTTTAATTAGTCAGGGTCATTTGGGTTCTGTCAAGTTTGAGTCTTTTAATTGTGTGGATTGTTTGTTGGAAAATAAACAACCTGCCTTGTCATTTCCTCGTAGTACTTCCATTGTAGATACACCGTTTTCATTAGTTCATTATGATATTTGGGGACCTTCACCTGTTGTTTCTATGAATGGTTCACGTTATTTTGTACATTTTATTGATGAATATTCTCGCTTTACATAGATTTACTTCATGCGGCAGCGTTCTGAACTCCCATCTATTTATCTGGACTTTGCTAAAATGATACATATCCAATTTTCCTCCACCATAAAAACTCTCCGCACAGATAATGCTTTTGAGAATACCGATTCTTCCTTTTTTCGTTTGCTATCTGATCAGGGTACTATTGTCCAACGCTCCTGCCCATACACCTCTCCACAAAACGGTCACGCCGAACGTAAACACCGTCATATCCTTGATACAGTCCGCACTCTTTTCTTATCTGCCTCTTGTCCGGATCGCTTTTGGGGGGAAGCAGCACTCACTACTGTCCACACTATATGGGTTATGTCAGTCCATTTGAAAGACTATTTAATCGAGCCCCTGATTTTAGTCTTCTCCGCCCTTTCGGTTGTGTTAGTTTTGTCGTCCTCCCTCCTCATGAGCGCACTAAGTTGGAACCTCGCGCGTGCCTGTGTTGTTTCCTGGGATACGGGTTAAAACATAAGGGTTATCGTTGTTGGGATCCCATTTCCAATAGGCTACGTATTTCTCGTCATGTCACTTTCTGGGAGAATACTAAGTTCTCTACCTTGTCCTACTTTCGAGTCCCCTTTGATCGTTCGTCTCCATTCTTTACCTTGTCCTCTCCACCTCTATTTCCTTCCGATGATGCGGCCCCGTCCCCCGCTCCTGACACTGTCCCGATTGCGCCTCCTAAACCGACGCTGATCCCCAAGCCTATTACTACTCTCGACTCTGATGCATCACCATTACCAGAGCCTGACACTACTTCAACCTCAGACCCTGATCCTGGCCCTCGCCGTTCCACTCGAGTTAGTCACCTCCCTACTCACTTACTCAATTATCATTGGTTCTCTACCACTTTGTCCCACTATAAGCCCAGGTCCTTTCGTGAGGCGTATGTGGATCCGTTGTGGCGGCAGGCTATGTCTAAGGAGTTGTAGGCTTTGGAGAAAACTCATACGTGGGATATGGTTGATCTTCCCTCTGGCAAGAAACCTATCGGCTGTAAATGGGTATTCCAAATCAAAACTCACTCCGATGGATCGATCGAGCGCTACAAGGCACGTTTGGTAGCCAAAGGCTACACCCAGCAGTATGGTATAAACTATGAGGAGACATTTTCCCCAGTTGCTCGTCTCACCTCCATCCGTTGTCTTATCACTATCGCTGCCGCTCGTCGGTGGCCCCTACATCAGCTAAATGTCAAGAATGCGTTCTTGCATGGTGATCTATCCGAGGACATCTATATGTCTCATCCTCCTAGCTTTCCTACGTCTTCCAAGGTATGTAAACTTCGTCGTGCTCTGTTTGGTTTGAAACCTCGAGCTTGGTTTTCGAAATTTAGCTCTGCTCTACTCCAGCTTGGCTTTACTTCCAGCGATCATGATTCGGCTATCTTCATTCGTTGCGGGTCAGCTGGAATTACTGTTCTGCTACTTTATGTGGATGACATGATTATTATGGGAGATGATGCTTCCAGTATCTCTGAGCTACAGGTTCATCTATACCGCCACTTTGAGATGAAGAGCTTAGGGCCTCTTCGGTACTTCCTAAGTTTTGAGATCTCCGACACCTCTGACGGATATTATCTCTCTCAAGCCAAGTATGCCTCCGACCTTCTGTCTAATGCCGGTCTCACTGACTCCAAGACTGCTCCTATGCCTCTAGATTCTGACTTTCGTCTTACTCTGATGGACGGCGTCCCCCTCGATAATCCTACTCTGTGTCGTCAGCTGGTGGGAAGTCTGATCTACCTGACTGTCACTCCACTTGATATTGCCTATGCCGTCCATATCGTCAGTTAGTTTATATCTTCTCATCGGACAACTCATCATTCTGCTGTTCTACGTATTCTCCGGTACATCAAAGGTACTCTCCTCCATGGGCCTCATTATTCAGCTCGTTCCTCCTTAATTTTGACTAGGTATTCTGACGCTGATTGGGCGGGAGATCCCTCTGATCGCTGCTCGATCACCGGGTTTTGCTTCTTCCTTGGCGACTCGCTTATTTCTTAGCACAACAAGAAACAAAACGGTTTTCTCCCAGTCCAGTGCAGAGTCCGAATATAGAGCTCTTGCCGACACCATTGCCGAGCTTTTATGGCTTCGCTGGCTGCTGGCTGATCTCGGTGTGCCTCAGTTCTCTGCCACTATTATTCATTGCGACAGTCAGAGCGCCATGAAGATTTCGACGAATGATGTCTTCCGTGAGCGTACGAAGCACATTGAGATCGATTGTCATCTTGTACGTTATCACGTTGCTCAGGGCAACATCTTCTTGTCTCATATTTCTTCTGCTGATCAGACTGCCGACGGCTTCACCAAGCCTCATCTTCCCAGCCGTTTTCAGTCATTCTTGAGCAAACTCAAGTTGAGTCCACCGTCCCACCTTGAGTTTGAGGGGGAATGTTGATATATATGTTGATATAGATTATATATATTTAAAGACATTTCCCTTGCTTTCCTCTTTTTCTCCTTTACTCCGGTCCCTCCGGGTTTGTCTTTGATATATATATCCCTACCTAATATATCTTTTGTATATATATAACATTGTACCTTAATTATAATTTAAAAAATTCAGTTTATTCCATTAATCCTACCACTTGTTTTAGAATCTTGTAGAATATAATAGAAACCCTAAAATATCCTAGAGGACAATCGTTGATGTTTAACCAATCCGTTCTCGATCGTGGTTTGTTATATGAATTTGCATAAATAGGTGCAGCTACTTTATATATACTTATAGGCACTTTTTAAGATATGACAATATTATCTAGTTTATATATAGTTATAGGCACTTCTTATATAATATGCATAATTAGTAAAAGATATGACAATATTATAAGACAATTTTCATACTTTAAACTAAAACACTAAACTATTATTATAATAATAATAATCATAATTTTGAAAAGAAGATGATTGGACCGACATAAAAATCTTTTATACAAATTTTAAATATATTATTTATATTATATTGTGCAACATTTATAACCAACAAAAAAAACACACCATCATAATAATAACAACGGGATACAAACAAAAAAAAAACACATCATTATGATAACAACGGGATACAAACGTCAAAAATCGCATGGAGTTCATCCACATCAATGAATTTTCGAAAAAAAAAAAATGACCAAACAATATTTCATCTATTACACAACACTGTTCCCCGATAAACAAACATATTCCCATTCCAACTAGTTGATTTTTAAATTTTCTGTTACGGACTTTTCCTTTTTTTTATTTTTTTTTTAAGACCTACAGAAAATTATAACTCATACAACATATATGGTTCACAATGGTGGGTGGGTCAACCCTCTATTATCCAGCTCATTGCTTTTGAGAATACTTATAACAATCTGAACACAACAATTCCAGACAAAAATTTTCTTCAAACTCGACGTCATCAATGCACCTGCCACATTCAGTGCACCTTGCAATGCAGAGACTACAAGCTCGACAGACAACAAGTGACTCATCTAGAATCTTGGAACAACCCTCGACTGGACAATCATAAACCAGTCTGACCTTCTTGCACAGAGGACAAATTTCCAAGTCCAATACTCGTTCGTCATCATATGGAAGATATAAATTGTCTCGACGAAAGAAATGCGACTTTTTGTGATCACTTTCAAGTTTCTTTTTATTGGCACCAAGTAGGAATTCTAACTCTTGGAAATGCTCATGATCAACTCCAAATATCCCACCAATTCTAAGGTGCTTTATACCTCCATTACTTTTACTAGAGTTGAATGCCCTGATATTTTTTACTATCCAATCGATACTTATCCTCGTACATCCGAAAAGGCGCAGCTGCATGATAATAGCATGATTAGAACTTTCACAATATTTTATTTTATATGGACAAGACAAATACTAAGCTAGGAATATAGCCACCAACAGTAATCACTAACATTGATCAGTACATGATAAAAATGCTGAATTCTTCGAACACCATCAAACATTAGCTCTGATAAATTACAATCGTTGCCGCAAAACAAACTTTCCACTATCACAATATAAGTCAAACATAAGACTACCACAAGAATGAATAATTTTTGGACAGCATCAAAAAAAAACAAAGAAAGCAAAGACCTCAATTGAAACTGAGAAATTGTCCATGTAAAAGACCGACTAAATTTGATTTAAACTATATCCTAAGCATTACTAAATATTGGTAATCAATATTATTGTTACAAAATAAATCCACCTTAGCACATGGACTGGATGACAGGCATAAACAGTTGAACACATTATTTGTCATTAGATTTAATGAATTCAATATCTGTCAACAATCTGAAAGAGTTTGTAATTAAAACTATATTCTACTAGTGGTTCAGTGTAATACGAAGCTCATAAGAGCCAACTAGAAAATTAAGTGGAGGCAGCAATGCTCGCCTCCCATACATACAGAAAAGGCTGGAACAAACATGTACAAACACAAATGAATATGGACATAGATCTTACACATAAGTATGACACAAGGATGAGCAAATATTTATATACTCAAAAGGGGGGAAAGATAGAAAGCATTGCCCACATGTGAAAGCACAATGTTTTGGACCAGAATACTGTCTAGGCCCCAAACCTTTGTTTTTATGCACCAATTCCTACAGGCTTCTAAGCATATCCATATGAAATGTATGTTTGTGGAGCTACTTATAACAAATAAAATCATTTGTCTAGTTTACGATTATCCTCCATGTTGATCTTAACTTGAACCCTTATGCACGTGTTTGAAATTGACCAAGATAAAAGAAGCTAACATAGCATAGTCGATAAAGCCAACTTTACAATAGTGTCATGCTGTCACTTTGCATTTCAATATAAAGTAGGTATACTTCATCCTCTTCCTGGGGACTTATTTTCCTCCTAAAAAGAAACACAAAATTAGGGTTGTTCTTTCCATGATTTACTCGCGGTTATGGAAGAAAGAAAGCATGTCTACAAGAGCACTATCACTGGACATAAACCACTAAGACTTGATTGTTTATAGATATTACTCAGAGTTTGCTTGTTTTCATGTCATGCTCAAAACAAATATACAAAGCTTTGTCTCAATTGACATGAACATGCGCATTAATTCACATTAAACAGACGAAGTAAAATAATTCACTTAAAATTTCCAGCACATTCCATTACATGCAGCAATGCATAATAAGGAACACCAAATCAACCACACTTAGAGCTTAATAATCAACCACACTTTGATTTTGAAAGCTAACATTCTACTCCTCCATCTCAATCAGCGTTGATTGTTTAAATGAAATGAAATTTACACCAGTTGCATTTTTCATCGAATCCAAAACAAAGAAAATCTGTGTCTGTACATACAAAACAAGTGAAAATGCAGGGCTGACAGTTCCAAACTGGCATTCTATACTAAAAAGAGCAAAGAGCAAATATACAAGCATATACCACTTGTTTAATGAAAAATATTTGATGCTAGCAACCAATGCTTCCCAAGGAAAAAACACAAAATTTAAACCAACCATGAAAAATTGAAACCCACCAGCAATCCAAAAAGAAAATAAGATATTATGAATCATGAATAAAGCTGGTGGAGACACTCACCTTAGTTAATCCCTCATTAATTTCGAGTATGTGCCTTAGAACGTCTTCAGTTATCTTGAGGCACTCTACTAAGCTCAGGCATTGTAGGTTCCCTTGAGCCCTGCTAGCCAATTGCACAAGAACATCATCTGTGATCCTTTCATTAAGAGGCAGATCAATATGGATGGTTCTCCACAACAAGGGATCACCACGGACAGTGGAAAATAGGGACTTGCAAGCCATCCCAACAGATAGCAGGTCCTTAACGCCCAAATAGCTAAGAGCGAGGAAAAAGCCTTCGTGAAGTGTCTCTTCAACACTGGCAGCACTACCTATTTTTTCTTCGGCTACCATTTCAGAACTGCAGCTAGCAGTGCCAATGCTGAAGTCAACAACATCCCCCACATTGGATGCTTGCTCAAATCTGATGTCGTGTGGAGCAAAAACGAACCCCATACCAACCTCCTCTACTCTACTGGTTGTGTTTTGCTTCTCACTCAGCTCAACACTGCTCGACATGTAATTGTTGCATGTGTGCAATTGATCACATGCCTGGATGTCAGCGAAATGGAAATCTCTATTCCCTTGCTCGGTCACTGGAATAGTGCTACGAAATGGTTGAAACAATACAGGATCAACCCAAAGCAGATGCCATCCATCAAACAAAACATTCCCTCCCTGACCAGTTGTCCCATTGTCAGCCATCATACATTCTTCATAATCAACCTCCAAGTCTTCTAGCCATCCAGTTATGGCAGTGAAAGTAGATTGCATATCCATACCAAATGGATCAGAGGGTAAACGGTCAACAATGTCCACAGAAGTTGAATCCTGCAAGCTGCAAAAGTCAGCTTTATCCCTCCTACAAAAGAGATCATGCTCCTCGGTATCTCCTTGGCCCAAGTACCATGGCCTTAAGCAACCTTCCCCATTCATATCTGGAACACCCTCGAAAAGGTACCCATTCACAATTCTCATAGGTGATACCAAATTATCTTCAGAGATATACGGCTGAAACATTGGCATATGTGAATAGTTCAACGCCATCTCAATTTCTCTATAGCAAACGCTAGATCAGTATATCTTAATTGCTTCTTTTTCCTCCTAAGAAATCCAGCGGGGAAAACAGGCAAACTGCTAACTAGAACAATATAAAACTTTCGTTTTTTTTTTTTCCCTTTTTTTGTGCTTTTTACAGCTCTTTCCAAACAAAAAGGAAAAAGGAAAAAGAACAGAAGTTCTACTTTGTTGCTGCAAAAATCCAATCAAGAAAACTCTCAATTTTCAATGACAGGCTAAAATAAAGCACCAAAAACTTCACGGAGATTTTCTTGTAAGGAACGAGGGAAAAAAAACCAATCTTTTTGTTTTGTTTTTCTCAGCTAAACAGCTACCGAATCAACCAATGACTCCTTTATATAGGGAAAAAGAACCCAAGAAGTCCCACTACGACGAAAAGAAAAACAAAAGCAAAACTACCCAACTTAGGGGTTAGAAAGAATCCCGTATCGTAATCCTTACCGGTTAATCGAGACAATATACAAACCCAAAACAAAGAAACAAAAACAAGAAACCTCATCCGTTTCTTGCAAACCCAAAACTTGATCCAGAGATATTGAGACCCTGATCGCCGTTCACATCGCCACCATGAATGGGGATTGCTAACGAATCGGAAAGGGGAAAAAATATTGAAAAACCACCGATAGAAATTGGTTGCGATGAAGGGAAGTAGCCGAACCGAACCGAACGAACCGAGGAGAGGAGAGTTTAAGGGGAGAGAAAGAAGCGGAGAATCCAGCGAGGGGGGATATGGCTAAATTTTGTGTTGGGTTGGGCGAACGCCAACGCCAAGGGCGTGAGACACGTGGGGAGGACATTGTTTTCGTGCATACCTTACGGCAAAAGGACATTTGTCCGTAACGAATAGTTACGGTTTTTTTTTTTTTTTTTTTTTTAGTTACGGGGTTCAAACCTCATGAATTTAAACCCGATGCACTTTTGGCTAGCGGTAATAATAACAATAATAACAACTGGATTGTGTTCATTTTTTTTTTTAATTTAAAGAGGATGTATTAGATCATGATTTTTTAGTTCTACTTTTAAAATTTGAATATATTAAATTTAGATTTTTAAAAGTTTGTCATTTAAAATTTAGAAGTATTATTTTTTAAAATCGTAATGTATTTAATAATGCATAGACTTTATTAGATTTTGATAAAAAAATCATAAAAAATTTATATAGTATAAAATCTGTGTAGAGATTTTGATGGTTTTTAAAATTTATTATTATTATTATTATTATTATTATTGTTGTTGTTGTTGTACACTGGATACATGATCAAGAATATAATAATATTTATTAATATTATAATTTTCAATAAAAATAATAATTTTAAATTAAAATATATTAACGAATTATTATCAATTTTTTTAAAATTATATTTATATTATAAATATAATATTTAAAAATTATTATTATCATAATAAATATATATTATTATTATTATTTTTCAATTATCGAATACAATATATTGTCATTCTAATGTGGTTCTCCCTTTTGTTGAACTGTTAGTTTATATTTATTTAATTTTTTATTGTAATATTTTTTTTTCAAAAATTGTAAATTATGATTTTTACTTTACTTATATAATATTTATTTTTATGCAAAAAAATTATATAAATAATAATAATAACTAATAAAAAATATATAAATAATTTGATATATTGAATGATAATATAATATTAAAAACTATAAAGTTAAAAATATTAATATACAATATAGTAGCGTTATACTCCATCCGTCTTATATGTATCTATCAATTTACTTTTTGTACGTTATTTTAGAAATATTAATATTATATTGAGATGTAGTAAAAATAAAGGTAAAAAGACTAAACTACATTTGTGTAATATATTGTAAATTAAAAGGGTATTTTCAGTGTTAGATAAATAGTACAATTAATAAAAAATAAAATGGATACTTTGTTATGGGACGCACCAAAATAGAAAAATAGATAGATTATTAAGGGACGGAGGGAGTATATGTTATAATATATTTTTACATTATCAATAATTATATATTATTTATTAATTAATTTTATTTTATAAAAGTATAATAATATATAATCACTTTAATTATAAATATATTATATTTATAAACTTGTGTTTAATATAAATTATATAATTATATATATCAATAAAAAAATTATTCTTCAATCCTACGAAATCCATATAAATCCCTAACGAATTCAATCAAATCTGTAAAAGTCCATCTAAATCAATTATTAAAAACCATCAAACTCAACGTAGACTCTATGAATTTAGAAAATTCAAAATAAATTTACAGACTTTTTAAAATCCAAAACAATCCATTGAAATCCTAATTGAATATACCCCTTAAATATATAGTCAAATTAAAAGTTTTTGAGATTTTACAATAAATTAAAAAATAATAATATTTTATTACTTAGTGGAACAAATATTTTGATAATTTTGTATTTCAACTTTACGAATAAAATAATTGTATATGTACTACTAGTATATTTGTAATTGAAGTACAAGTTAAATGTATTTTGCTATTAGTATATTACTTTTTTTAAAATAGAAAATTGATAGTTTAAAAATAACACAAACGAAAATGGTAAAAAAAAATACATAAAAAATTATATTTGTAATATAAAAATTCATATTTTAGATTAAATAATTTATTTTTGTTGAATAATAAAATATATATTATAATACATATTATGGTAATGAGCATGTGTATTGTATTTTTATATATACTATTTATAAAAAATTGTGTAGCTGAAAAATATAAATTGAACAAATCCAAAATATCCAGAATTACTCTCTTAATTTCACTTAATTTGTTCTAATTTCGTTTGTCTCACATAATTTATTATTTATTTTTTTAAAACTATAATTATACACTTTAATTACATTTTAAAATTCATAATATATAATTTTTATTAATTTTAATTAAACTATTTAGTATCTTAATCTTAATCTATTTTAAAATTCACATTTGGTGATGCGCGCAATACTTTAATTATATTTTAAAATTCATAATATATAATTTTTTTTATTTTAATTAAACTGTATAGTAACCTTAATTTTAATCTATTTTAAAATTCACATTTGGCTATGCCTGTAACGACTTCAACGAGTTTTTCATTCCCTTTTCCCTTGCTTGCGATGAGGAGGGCCGATCAACCACCTCAACTTCCTCTTCGGTTCCTTCTTCTGAGCTTTCTCCTATCTCTTCACTACTCAATTTTTGCGCTGGAGTGGGGAGAGCTAGGGGAGATTCTGCTGCCTTTGCTTTCTTTGGCCTTGGTTGTGCCGCTTGTCCTGAAGCCGGAGTTTTTCTTTTCGGTATAGATGGAAATTTCATTGAGCTTAGCCACCGGCGACAAATTCTAGGGCCGATGGGACTGGCAGATCAACCAATGGTTTTTCAACTGGGATCTCAACTCCCACGGCACGAAATAATTCTGTAATAAGATGGATATGTCCTGGGGCCACCAAAAATGATTCCAAGCCCGTAGAGATGTCATGGAAATTAGCTTGCCAATATTGATATGTTGATTGCAAAGAATTTTCACCACTGCGAACAAGTTATTCACCCCAATCTCAATGAAGTAAGACGTGCAGTAGATTCTAGTGGCAGCCCGCTTCAGTAATGGTTTGTACTCCTCATTGATGCTCTTTAAGGCGAGCTTCCTGTTAGGTCCTACAATTGGATTCCTAGAAAAACAAAGAATAATCGCATTAATCTGTCACAAGTGGCAGAGTCCAGTGACTCGCAAGAATCCAGGGACCTTTTGTATGGAAAGTCCTCCCTCAGTGATAAGTGCTTTGTGATGGTCTTTGGGCTCGCATCAGTCCTCTTGCCACAGACATATACACAATCAAATCCATTTTTCGGTGTGGAGATTGGCATAGAACTCCCTTACTATCGTCACGTTGGCGTATTCAATCAGATTCGTCAGCAGCTGAAGTAGCCCTTTTTCCGACGTCCACCTGATAAGCTCATCACTGAAGAATCTCGAGTCGAAGCCCTTTTCAACGATGTGTCTTCGTGAGCAAAGAAGCTCATATTGTGAGAATGCTGTGACGCTTACGAACCATGTTGGGTCAAAAGAATTTACCTCCACTGCTAATCTAGCCGCCTTTTTTGCATCTACCTTTGTTGGGTCACCATTCATTGTTGCCATTTCAATTTCACCTTATAAGCTCTCCCTATGCTCCTTTAACTCTAAGTCTCACTTTCCTAACAATCTGTACTCTGATTGTACGCAGTCAAATTGTTCCTCTCCATACTGCACTATCTGATCAGACGATATCCACCACTGCGCAAACGGCACCTGAGTTTATTCTATTTCTACCCAAGGATGAAAATCCTTTGGGAATTTACTAGTCCTTTTGCGATACGTGTCTGCACACAGTCTTTCCAGCACCACCAGTTTTGATTCACACGCAGAAAGTTCCCCCTCTTGTAGAATGCAGCTGGTGGCAAGGGTTCTAGTAAAGCCGCGTCGGATGCGTGGCAATACCTCTTGCGTCCTATTGGGTCTGCTAACTTCCCAATTTTTTTCTCAAACTCCTTATCAAGTTTGGAAAATTCCTTCTGCAGTTTCTTTCTTTTTTCTTCCTCAAAAATTGTAACAACTCTCCTTAAGTCCTGCACGTCCTCGCGCACGTTTGCAGACACCATGGTTGGTAGGTCGTGCAAATAGCATAGTTGCTGTTGGATTTGTTTCTCTATTGCAATGAAATCTGATGTATGCAACCCTGTAAAATAATCGCGACAAATTTTTTTGATGTTATCAATGGATCCTAGGGGGTGGCACTAAAGTCTTAAGGACGCAAGAGAGGGGTTAGGTCCAAGGCTCTAGTTCTACATTTCTTAGGACACCAACTGTCGCCTTTTCGAAGCGCAAAGAACAAGTTAGCTAGGGCTTCTTCATTGTGAGGAGATCTTGCAAATTTAACAGTTCACCTATCGGGACTTGAGAAATTGCCAGGTATGGGAATCAAATCCTCTCCAAATGGAACGAAGTTCCTTAGGGCAAAATAAATAAGTCTTAAAAGGTCTAACTTGAAGAAGACAATAATATGAAGCTAAAATGCACTTTGAGCACAAAGTTCGAGGAAAAGTTGTTCTATTAACTTGAGAAGTCCTAGGATCAAAAATAGGCAATTTGATGTAAATGCGATCTATGAAATCGAATGTTCGTACCTTATTTTGTAAACATATAGTGTTGTTTTGGATTGGAAACAAAGAAAATACTCGAAATCAAAGCTTTTTGGATGTCTTGAGAGATATCGTACGATTGAAGTTTCAATGAGAGAATATGAACAGTCTGTGTCATAGATTGAGAGAAATAAAGGGTTTTAAGGTACTTGGGGGTCATTTTAGAATTTCCAAAGAGTTGAGGGGTCTCAAAAAGATGCTCGCATCGTGAGGATAGCCTCACGTTGGACGTCAATGAAGCTGTGAGAGTCTATCTTATTAAACTATAAACGTGTCCTAGAATAACAGTAAATCTATACTTCACACGCGATATCAAAATGCACGCGACTCAAACGTAAATGTGGTAAAATAATTCAAAATTTCAAGGATACTGGGAAGGATATACTTTAATTAGTGTTAACCTCCTCTGCTCACACTGAATAATTATGCGTCCTCACACAGCTTAAATGTCAAGTTTTGGCACTCGCTAACCATCTTGAATCCTTTTAGAAATCTCTTCAATCGCATACAATTTACAAGGAAACCATCATGATTATCTACAAAATTTGGATTATAGATGCACACCACTCTATTGGCCAGAACTTCTTTCACGATATA